GTCATTAGCACCTCTAGTAATATATTTACTGAGAAAAATGGTGACGTGTTCAATACTTATTTTACCTGCTGTATGTATACATATATGAAAGTGTTTGGATATGTAGTTATGGGTATGTTTATGTGTATATGTATAAATTTATATATGTATATGGGTATGGTTTTCAGCAAGGTTATAGTCATTATAATTACATACATAGATATGCATTTTTGTTGCTGTGGTTTTGCTATCTTTGCTTTTGTAGGAGTGGAGCCAAGAAGTCCGGTGTGCTGTCTTGTGTTTTCTCAACATGTACAGTATTTCACATATCTTCTTATCTCTCTTTCACTCTTTCTCATTACATTTCACTTTTTTGTTTCGCTTTCTTTTTCTCCTATTAAAAAAATAATAAATAATAAATAAATAAAAAAACAAACAAGCTATTTTTTTAATTCATTGAGATATCTACAACACGTAAGATATTAATTGTTCTTTACATTTCCACAATCCTGTTCTGAAAAGACTTGATTCACCTCTTTATTTTCCTGCTATCATCTGGTATCAATAATCAAAGGAAAGTTCTGATCAACAGATGATGAGATCCTCAGTCCTGGTTGTTGAAGCACACCTGTTTTCACACTCYTTTAATCAGCTGGGGCTGTCTGAAGACTAAATAGAGACAAAAGTTCAATTTTGTTGTGGAAAATCTGAACCGAGCAGAGTACTGTACGTCAAAAGTAAGTCTCTCTCCTTCTTTTTCTCTTCCACATGGACAGACACACAATAACTGCACATGCAGCCTCTCCAAGGCCCCAGATGAGATCCTCTCAGTCTCAGATGGCTGGTCCTTGTTTGCTCAGTGAACCCAGTGACTCCAGAGGAGGCTGAGCGCTTATTATCATATTATCAGACGAGTAATTAGAGCATTAGTTAGGGGGCACACACACTTCTCCGAGGAGGCTCGAGCATGTTTTGAGAAGGCATTCTTTTTCAGAAAGAGCATTTATTTACCTACAATGTGTTGTTCCAAGTTTCCCCCATGCTTTCCCCCCTCTCCAGAGGCCTCCCAGACTCAGTGCCAGTACAGCAGAGGGAATGAGGTGCAGTGGTGAGCAAAGAGGGAAAGCAAGAGAGAAGGCATAAAACATAGGCAGACTAAGCAAGTGTTTCATCAGGTTTCTGCWCGACACAATTCAGAACTAAAGCAAACAGTATCAACATTTTTTTTACAAAACTAATACAATAAAATTTGTAGTTTTTCATAAACTGTGGTAAAAGCATGCTGTGTTTGTCTGTCTATTGGCAAAATACATCTCATGGACAGATTTTATTGAAACATCCATGAATCTACTACTCAACCATAGTAGTCAACCAGTGGTGGGCACATTTCCCCTAAAGCACTAAAGCACTAATAGAAAACTAATTTCCTGATTAGTGCTTTAGGGCTTTGGCTAATTAAAAAATTTATTAGTGGATTAGCACTTGAAAAATTCATAGGCTAAATTTAAAAACACTAACTGAGGTCTATAAATGTTAATGATCAACGTTAATGTTAACATTAATAAAAGCTGTCACATTTTGTTCAAATGTGTGTCACTTATCGACAATACGTATATTGACAATACTGTATATGAACCCAAATACAGCTGTGGAATGTCAATGCTAAGTCTTAAGAGAGCAACATGGCAACATGTGACTCATGTTGTCTGTTGAGGAATGTTCATGGGTTGACTGGGTTATTTTAGTGCTTTAACAGTAGCTTTTGCCAAAATTTTCAGTGCCTTAGTGCTTCAGAATTATGGGACTTAAATATTTGAGTTAGTGCTTTAGGGCTAGTAGAACTAATTTTTAGATTAGTGCTGCCCACCACTGGAGTCAACCCGTTTCAAGATCAACCTTGGCAAACAAAGGATACAACTCAACAAATTTCATAGATATTGAACAACAACTGAGCGTGGTAGAGTTGTCGCCACCGCATTGTGAGTGCTAGAAAGATTTCTGTTCCAAATCTTGGCATGCAGTATGATGGCTGGTATGCATTCTTCCATTTAATCAGTGTGCATTGCCAATGCATAGTACACTATTGTGATTCGTTTCCCATCCAAGTCATCTCAACTTTGCCATTCTTCTCCTTCTGCATACTTTGTCCTAGAGCTGCCATTGTAATTTATATCTGTAAAGCTCCTGTGCCAAATGATGGCTATGCCTTTGGATGCCTGTAAATCTTATAGTTTGTGAAATATTAACGTTTAATAAATTATAATGGC